ATATCAGCACCACCATCGTCACAATCAAAATCATTACAATGATCGCCATCAGCATATCCCCCGTCGACGGAGTCATCACCGCGATCGTACAAACCATCCTCATCATCATAAGCACACGCTTCAACCTCATCATCAGCATCATGGTCATCGTCGTAATCATCATCGTCATGGGCGTCACCACAACGAACACAATCAACATTATCATTACCATCGTCGTCGTTATGATCATCATATCCATCATCATTAATCATCATATACATCTTTCCCTCCCTTCCTCCTCACCAACACCATTCATGCTGTCGTCTTCCGCATCGCTTTTCAACAACGAGCGCATTGCCATAATAAGGGCCATCACCCTGATCAGCATCAACGTTCAGAAGCAATTCGCCCGAAACATCACTATCGTGAACGCCGCCATCTGCAGCATCCAAGTCATCATCGTACTCATCACCATCATGGTCCAAACTGGGCATTTCAACATCAGCACCACCATCATCACATCAGAATTTCCGCCCGTCGGCAGAAACATCACCACGATCGTACAAGCCATCCTCATCATCATAAGCACACTCTTCAGCCTCATCATCATCGTCGTCGGCGTCATCATCATTGTCATGGGCATCACCACCACGCCCACAATCAGCATCATCACTACCATCGTCGTCGTTATGATCATCATCTCCCTCATCATTACAATGGCCCTTATAACATGCCATCCTCTACCTGTTTCCCTCTTTTCCTCCTCACCAGCACCATTCATTTTGTTGTCATCCTCCCCGCTTATTCCACAACGGGCGCATTGCTAGAGGCCTCCTAGATGTGGTCGGAGTAGATGGGGTCGAAGGATTGCGCCGCATTGGCGATACATCGGTGATGTATCGGCGATGCATCAGCGATGCACCGGCGATGCATCGGCGACGTCGGCGATGCATCGGCGACGTCCGCGTGAAGAACATCGGGCTCCGCATCGAGCCGCATCGGCGATGCACTGGCGATGCGGCGCGATCCTCCGACCCCATCTACTCCGACCCGATCTAGGCGGCCTAGAACTGCCATGATAAGCGCCATCACCCTGATCAGCATCACAGTTCAGAAGCAACGCACCATAACATCATTATCGTGAACGCCGCCAGCTGCAGCATCCAAGTCATCATCGTACTCATCATCATCATCATCATCCAAGTCGTTATTCCAATACCAGCACCATCACCAATACAATCACAATCGTCGGGTGATCCGGGAGTCCGGTGAGTCGGGAGTCCGGCGGGTCCTGCGAGTCCGGTGAGTCCGGTGGGTCCTGCGAGTCCGGTGAGTCCGGCGAATACGGTATGTCCTGCGTGTCGGGTGTGTCCGGTGTGTCCGGTATGTCCGGTGTGTCCGGTGTGTCCGGTGTGTCCGGTGTGTCCGGTGTGTCCGGTGTGCCCGGTGGCCGGCGTGTCCGGTGAGTCCGGTGAGTCCGGCGCGGTGGCTGGGGCAGCAGGCAGGACCATGCTGCCGACCACTAAAGACGACGACGACAACGACCGACGACGACGACGACGACGACGACGACGACGGACGACGACGACGACGACAACAACGACCGACGACAGACGACCGACGACGACGACGACCGACGACGACCGACGACGACGACCGAAGAACACGACGACGACGACGACGGACGAAATCGGACGACAACGGACGACGACGACAACGACCCACGACGACGACGACGACGACCGACTGCCGACCGACGGCCGACGACAACGACGACGACAACGACCAACGACAACGACGACGACCACGACGACGACGATGACGACGACGGACGAAGACGGACGAAATCGGACGACAACGGACGACGACGACACGAGCGACGACGACGACTATGACCGACGACTGACGGCAGACGACGACGACGACGACAGCAACCATCTACGACGACGACGGCGACGGCGGACGACGACGACGACGGACGACGACGACGACGGACGACGACGACGACCATGAACGACGACCGACGACCGACGACGACGACGACCGACGACGACGACAGACGACGACGACGACGACGACGACGACGACGACGACGGCGGACGTCGACGACGACGACGACGACGACCGACGACACGACGACGACGACCACAACGACCACGACGACGCCGATGACGACGACAGACCAAATCGGACGACAACGAGCGAGGACGACGACGACAACGGCGACGACGACGACGACCGACGACCGACGGCCGACGACAACAACGACGACGACGACAAAGACCGACGACGACGACCGACCACGACGACGACGATGACGACGACGGACGAAATCGGACGACAACGGACGGCGACAACGACCGACGACGACACGACGACAACAACGACGACCACGACGACGACGACAACGATCGACGACGACGACGACGGCGACGGCGACGGCGGACGACGACGACGACGACCACGACGACGACGACGACGGACGACGACGACGGCGACGACGGACGACGACGACGGCGACGACGACGACGACCGACGACCGACGACGACGACGACGACAACGACGACGACGACCACGACCACGAAGACGACGACGACGGACGAAATCGGACGACGTCGACGACGACGACGACCGATGACCGACGACGACGACGACGACCATCACGACCGGACGACGACGGACGAAATCGGACGACACAAGACGACGACGAGGACAACAACGACGACGACGACGACGACGACCGACGACGGACGGCAGACAACAATGACGACGACGACGACAGCGACTAAAAACGACGACGACGGCGACGGCGGACGACGACGACAACGACGACGACGGACGACGACGACGGACGACGACGACAACGACGACGACAGCGACCACGAACGACGACCGACGACCGACGACGACGACGACGGACGACGACGACGACGACGAACGACGACGACGACGATGACCACCACGACCACGACGACCGACGACGACGGACGAAATCGGACGACAACGGACGGCGACGACGACGACGACCGACGACGACGACCGACGACGACGACGACGATGGCAACGACCGACGACGACGACGACGGCGGACGACGAGGACAACGACGACGACGACGGACGAAATCGGACATCGGACGACGACGACGACGACCGACGACCGACTGCCGACGATGACGACGACGATAATGACCGACCACGACGACGATAACGACCAACGATGACGACGGCGGCGGACGACGACGACGACGACGGACGAAATCGGACGACAACGGCGGACGACGACGACGACGACGACGACGACGACGACGACGGACGAAGGCGACGAGGGACGACGACGAGGGACGACGACGACGACGACCGACGACGACGACGACGACCGACGAGGACGACGACGGCCGACGACGACGACGACGACCGACGACGACCGACGACCGACGACCGACGACCGACGACCGACGACGACGACCGACGACGACGACGACGACGACGACGACGACGACGACGACGGCGGACGATAACGACGACGACGAAGTTAACGACGACGACGACGACCGACTACGACGACGACAACGACGACGACGACACGCGCCGCTGTGGTGGATGCCCGATGGGGCGGAGGTGCTGCGATGGTCCGCTGTAGCCAAAGACGGCAACGGCGATGACGACAACGACGACGACGACGAGGACGACGACGACCATCACGACCACGAAGACAACGATTACGACGACGGACGAAATCGGACGACAACGACGACCGACGACGACGACGACCCACGACGACAACGACGAACACGACGACGACGATGACGACGACGACGGACGAAATCGTACGATAACGGACGACGACGACGAGGACGACGACGACGACGGCGACCGACGACCACCACGACCGACGACGACGACGACCGACGACGACGACGACGACGACGACGACGACGGACGGCGACGACGACGACGGACGACGACGACGACACGACGACGACGATAACGACGACGACCACCACCACGACCACGACGACGATGACGACGACGACAAAATCCATCGAAATCGGACGACGACGACGACGACGACCGACGGCGACGACGACCGACGACCGACGACGACGACGGCCACCACGACCACGAAGACGACGATGACGACGGACGAAATCGGAATACAACGACGACCGACGACGACGGCGACGACGACCGCGGACGAAATCGGACGACCACGACGACGACGACGACGACCACGGACGACGACGGCGAGGTCGACGACGACGACGACGGACGACGACCGACGACCGACGACGACGACGACGAACGACAACGACGACGACGAAGACCGACGACGACGACGACAACACGCGCCGCTGTGGTGGATGCCCCATGGGGGCGAAGGTGATGCGAGGATCCGCCGCAGCCGACGACGACGACGACCGACGACGACAACGGACGACGACGGCGACGACGACGACGACGACAAAGACGACGACGGCGAGGGCGACGACGGCCGATCGACGACCACGACGACGATACGACGGACGACGACGTTGACGACGACGACGACGACGGTCAACGACGACGACGACGAACGACGACGACGACGAAGACCGACGACGACGACGACGTCGACATGCGCCGCTGTGGTGGATGCCCCATGGGGCCGGAGATGCTGCGAGGGTCCGCCGTAGCCGACGACGACGACGACAGCTGTGGCTGCGGCCTCGGCGGCGACGACGCACGCTGTGGATGCCCCATGGGGGATGGGAGGGTGCCTAGAGGTCCCGGCCGCCGTAGTCGACGACGACGACGACGACGGCATACGACGACGACGACGACGACGACGACGACGACGACGACGTCAACGCACGCTGTGGATTCCCTCTGAGGGGCGGGTGCTGCGAAGGCCCGCCGTAACCGACGGCAACGACGACGACGAACCCCAGAACCAGAGCATTGGCAAACATTCAGTACGTCAGCCTGTGCACCGCTTCCTTCTCCCAATAACTCTCTGCATCGCCGCCCCCTCGTGTTTTTGTCTCCCTCTGCCACTGGTGCTCGCACGCCCCATTTGAAGCCTCCGGCAAACCCTCCAGGAACGGAACCCATGTGGTAGCCCGAAGCTGAGGCCGAGAGAAAGGCGCACCCCCGGCGGAGAAACAAGGGAGATGGATGCGGATAAGTCGTTGTATGCTGAAGTCCAGCGGCCATGGCAACGAACTCGTCGCAATCGAACGCAACACTCGCTGACCACACGCGTGGCTTGCCGGCAATAAACGCGGCACGGCGCGTACAGCGCGAGTCTGCGTGGACTTCATGAAAGGATGCAGATGACGATGGAAAAGCACGTCGGCCATGCTGGATGCCAGTCCAGCAAGAGGTCTTGCTGAGGCGCAATGCTGACGACTGGATTGAAACATCCGACGTCGCTTTCGGGAAACTTTCGTGATCTACACGTCATACTGACCCCCTCTACTGTCAGCTCTGGAACCAGCACTGTGCACGTGAGGAGGAGGAAGAGGAGGAGGAGTGCGCCAAAATGCAGGATAATGTATGCGAACACCTCAGCCTCAGCGGTCACCGTTTAAAGAGCCGGACTGGATTACCAAATGTGCTAGGAGGGCTGGCCGGGGATCGGCTGGACCCAGGCGCGAAGCCGAAACTTATAAGTAAAGCTGTATAGAGGAAAGGAGACGACACGCGGTGTGCCAAGGGAAGGAATGACACGGCCCGCGACGTGTTGGGACCGATAGCACGCGGATGGGGGAAGGGGCGGTGAGGCCAGTACGTCCTGGGAGGGGCTGAGATTTGCGACGATCGCCGGCCTGACCAGCAACAGGAAAGGCGCTGACCAATCAACAAAACGAACGAAAACTGCGCCCTGGCAGGAAGACCCCGAAGACCACACGTGGTACCAGATAGGACCGCACGAGCAAAGAATCCAAAAGCTGGAAACATGGCGCCACGCGGCACGTGGGCAGCATACACAAAAATACGTTGAGGATGCTGCCCCACACGGCACCACTCAAGCAGCGGACGGTGGGCTCGTGTTGTGACGTCCTGCGCGTTGGCTTCTGACGCCGCGTGGGTCGTTCGACCTGGAACGGTCGGCGGCCTTCCGATTGCTAGACTGGCGGCGTTCAGCATTAATCGCCAGCGCTGAGGTCGTCGTCGCGTCGGAACGACACTAGCCTACAAGATCTGAGAAACTGAGGCACGGCACCGCACGGCATCACGTGGACAAGCAAGGACCAGGCACCACACGGTACCGCAGGGCGTTTGCCCGTCACCGCACGGCACCCGTACAGGCAAAATCCCGACAGCTGTGGACACGGCACTGCGGCACCACCCTGCTCCACAGAAGTAAGAAGCTGTTGCCCGAAAACAGTGCATCCTGCACACCGGCTGCGCCAGCAGAAGGTCCAAGATCGTGGGAACAGCGGGCCACGCGGCGGCAACACGCGGCCCCACGTCCCAACAAGGCAGTGGATCCGAGAGATGTTTGTGTGCGCATCCGAGCCCTCATCAAAACGTAGAGACACCTTACGACATCCACCCGCCGCGCAGGGAGGTTGACAAGGGCTCGGGAAGTGTTTACCAAAGCGGACGACTTTCTCTTCTAATTGTTTGCGTGTTCGTCTGCACCCCTGAGCGCATCTTGCCCAAGAGACAATGACTCGTTCAGCTCAGGACTAAGCTAGCTTTGAGCCATCGCCCTACCGACTCCGTACTCTTGGTTGTGCCCACGGCGCTGTCTGTGCCACAGCACCCTCTCTTATTCCCGCCATGGTCTGACCTCCAGACGCTTCCCTGCCGTCTTCAGTAAGCGTGAGGGTGTGCCCCCCGATGAGGGTCAACCTCGTGTGGATTCATTCCATTCTTCCGCGCGCACCTTGCCAGTGGAGCCCCTGAGCCCTTCCGATTTAGAGCACAAGTAAATAGCACTTGGGTACAGCTGGCACTAGCATGTACTAGCGGGCAGCCTTTGCTAGAGTGCTTCGAGTCCCAAAGTACAGCGTGAGGAGGGTTCAATCAGCTGCAAATGGGTGGTTCACGCAAGGTTCGCCCGTCGTGCGTGCTGGAACCCCACGCGCCAGCAACCCAGCGCGAGCTCATTACTTCCGAAATTTGAGACGGGGGTTACCTCCCGTGCTCGAACCTCTCGCCAAGGATTTTGCTTTTTCTTCCGCGGAAGCCTGACCCCCTGGTTTCCTCGGCGCCCCAAAAGTTCTTTCCTTCCGGATGGACCCCTCTTTCGGTATGATACGTACAGCTGTTCGGGTGTTGCGGCTACACCCTCTGTGTTTTCGAACAATTCAGAGACCACGACGCCCAGTGCTCACTTTCTAGCGCGCTTGGGCACACTTTCGACTGCCATATCGGCAACGATCGTTAAAACTGGCGAATTGCCAAATGATGATTTCAAACGTCGCTAGACTTAGGGCCTTTTGTATCCTACAAGTAATACGATTGTCCCACGCGTCTTTGTTTGTTTTTTGTCCACCTGAGATGTTTGACGCGATTGTCAACACACAGTGTGTGTTACGAAAATTCGTTTGCGGGTTCGACCTGCCAAAGAACTCGCCATACGTTCATGATTGTTGCATTGAGATGCATGGGCAACCAAGTTTAGAATTTGAACCAGACGCGCATCCGTCTTGTGCCGAGCCGCAAGGCTTGCCTGCAGACCCAGGCGTGGGCCCTCGAATGGCTTCACGATCCTGAACTTCGTAAGAGCTCCCGCACGGAGTGCACGGAGTATGTTCACACGCATAGCTTACATCACTTCCGAAAAATGTTAGCCATCGTGGACCACAGCAAATGTGCTTCTAGCAGTAGATGTTCTGCAATCTGGGTGAAGCAATCTATGTGGCTATGTGGTGCAATCCACGTTGACTGTCTTGAAGCTGTCCTCTCCGCAGCTCGTGCAAACATCCCACCCTCCCACCCGCAACTTGGTCGCAAGACCTCTTAAGACCGTGACGGTGGGTACCAAATAGCACTTGGCAACGACACCGACGCCGACGACGACAGCGACAACGACGACGACGCCGACGACAACTACGACGACACCGACGACGACTCCGACAACGACGACGACGACAATAACGACAACGACGACGACGACGACACCGACGACGACTCCGACGACGACGACGCCGACGACGACGATGACGACGCCGACGACGACGACGACGCGGACGACGACGACGCCGACGACGACAACGACGACGCCGACGACGACGACGGCGACGACGACGTCGACAACGAAGACGACGACGACGAGGGAGGAGGGAGGACGACGACGGCGACAACGACAACGACGAAGGAGGAGGGAGGACGGCGACGACGCGAACGACGAAGGAGGGAGGACGGCGACGCCGACGACGACAACGACGAGGGAGGAGGGGAGACGACGACGACGACGACGACGGCGACGAAATAGAAGGGACGACGACGGGACGCCGACGACGGACGACGACGACGAGGGAGGAGGAAGGACGACCACGGCGACAACGACGACGGAAACGACGACGACGCCAAACAGGACGACGAAGACGACGACGACGACGACGACGACGACCGCGACGACGACGACAAGGGAGGAGGGAGGACGGCGACGATGACGACGACGACGACGCAAGAGCGCGCGCGCACGCTTTTGTTAAATATCAGTGTTGCGAAACCCTGTGTTGTTGTATGTTGTTTGGACACTCGATTTTGAAATCCTTCCGAAACCACAGATTTTTTAAGGATTTCGGCATGTGCGCGCGACGACGCGCGCGCGCGTGTATCTCATTTGTTGCAGAGGATTCTCGCGACGGCACGCACGCAAAAGCGTTCGAACGATTCCGACATGTGCACGCGAAGCCCGTTTGGTAGTATTTCCTGAACATGTTGAAAAACCTTATGTTTTCTTAAGATTTCGCAAGAACGCGCGCAAGCTGTTCTAGAAATTCCGTGTTGCGAAACCCTGTGTTTATGTATATGTGTTCTGGAAACTCGATTTTGAAATCCTTCCGAAACCAAAGGTTTATGAAGGATTCCGGCATGCTCGCACGACGACGCGCGCGTGTGCGCTTCGTCGCATATCTTGCAAGGGATCCTTGACAACTTATGATTTTTGATAAAACGAGTGCGCGCGTAGTGTTTTTTGCAGAGGGTGGCGGGGGGGAACCGATACCGGCCCCTGTGGGATGGTGTAAGTTCATAGTTAGGATGGACGATGGGGCAGAATCATCTGTAAATTGCAATGCGACAAGGGGAATCGTTAAGTCCGAGGGGGGAGGGGGGGAGAACCGATTTTTTTGAAATGAGTATTAATCAATGCTCAACTTGAAGTTGTCCACTCCACTGCTCGCGCAAGCACCCCTCCCACCCACCCGCAACTTGGTTTGCAAACCCCATGCAGTGGCGATTGCGATGAGTGCTTGGCGGTGGCTGGTGCGTCTCCGCGGCCGCGACAGCCCGCGTATGCACGCGCAGCGGCCAACTACTTTGGCGCGACCGACGCAGCCGCAATAGCGCTGACCGCTGGGCACTTCCCAGCGGGCACTTCAGTGCGAGTCGGCGACTTGGGCGAGCAATCTAATTGGTGCAATCTACGCGGTGCGACATATGTTGTGCAATCTATGTGGTGCAACATATGTGGTGCAATATATGTTGCGCATTCTGTCACAACATCTGCGGCGCAGTCTACGTGGTGCAGCAACTGTTGAGCAATCAGTGTTGTGCAATTTGGGTGGTGCAATCTATGCTATGCAATTAATTTCTGTTCGCAGTGAAATGTCCACTCCACTGCTCGCGCAAACATCCCACCCACCCACCCGCAACTTTGTTTGCAAAATCTCCTAAGACCGTGACGGTGGGTACCACATGGCACTTGGCAACAACAGCGACGCCGACGACGACACCGACAGCGACGATGACGACGCCGCCGACAACGACTACGACGACACCGACGACGTCTCTAACGACTTCGACGACGCCGACAACGACGACGACGACGACAACACCGACGACGACGACGACGACGACAACGACACCGACGCCGACGACGACGACGATGACAACGACGACGACGATGACGACGCCGACGACGACGATAACGACGACACCGACGACGACGACGACGACGACGTCAACGACGCCGACGCCGACGACGACGACGACGACGACGACGACGGCGGCGACGACGACGCCGACGTCGACGACGACGAAAACGACAACGACGCCGACGCCGACGACGACGACAAAGACGACGACGACGTCGCCAACGAAGACAACGAGGAAGGAGGGAGGACGGCGACGGCGACAACGACGACAACGACGAGGGAGGAGGGAGGACGGCGACGACGCGAACGACGAAGAAGGAGGAAGGACGGCGACAACGACGACGGCAACGACGAGGGAGGAGAGAAGACGACGACGACGACAACGACGACGACGACGACGGCGACGAAATAGGAGGGGCGACGACGAGACGCCGACGACGGACGACGACGACGACGAGGGAGGAGGAGGAAGGACGACCACGGCGACAACGACGACAGAAACGACCACGACGCCAAAGAGGACGACGACGACGAACACGAGGAAAGACAGAGGACGACGTAGGCGACGACGACGACGACAACGACGCGGGAGGAGGGAGGACGGCGACGACGACGACGACGACGACGACGACGCAAGAGCGCGCGCGCACGCTTTTGTTGAAAATCCGTGTTGCGAAACCTTGTGTTTTTTTGTAGG